TGCGCCTCTGGTATTGTTCGGTGTGTGCCTCTGGTATTGTTCGGTGTGTGTCTCTGGTATTGTTCGGTGTGCACCTCTGGTATTGTTCGGTGTGCGCCTCTGGTATTGTTCGGTGTGCGCCTCTGGTATTGTTCGGTGTGTGTCTCTGGTATTGTTCGGTGTGTGTCTCTGGTATTGTTCGGTGTGTGTCTCTGGTATTGTTCGGTGTGTGCCTCTGGTATTGTTTGGTGTGTGCCTCTGGTATTGTTTGTTGAGTGCCTGTAAGTGTACTGGCTCTCTCACTTCTGAGTTGTCATGTCTTATCTTTACGCCAGATGGCGCTGTCTCCGCAGGAACCGGGAGAAGTAATGGTGCTTCATTGGATGCTCTTATCGCAACTTTTAATGATTTTAGTTCTGCTTAATATGTAAGCTTGGTACCTAGACTCACTATTGGTCTGAACTGTTATGTTAGCCTAATTACCTATATTTAAGAAAGCCAGATAAAGTCTTGATTTCTTTTTGTTCTTGAAAGCCAGACATGTATAGCAATGGTTGCCAAAGGAAGTTATCAATAACCATGTTATCATTGGAGTAAACTGGGAAAAGTGTGTAAGAGCGTGCTGTATTATTTCCTTAAATTACCTCAATGAAGCATTATTTCTTCATTACAAATGTCTATAGGATGAAAATGTAACAAGCAGAGAAACAGTTTAGTTTGTTTTGAATTTTGAATTGGTATTGAATTCTATCCTTTTTCCTCTTGGTATATTATGTTTTTGAATGTCTAAACCAGACTTTTATTATATTTTTGAGAAATGGAAAGTTGTTGGTGTAATATTGCTGATTGCAATACTCTCAGTATTGCTGTTGAGTCTGTGTTTAAGAGTTAGTGGTCTTTCGTTGATTCACAAATGGCTTTTTCTGGCTGGGAAGGTGGCTCAGTGATAGAGCGCTTGCCATGCATGCATGAGGCCCTGGGTTTGATTCCTCAGCACCACGTAAGCAAAAGGAAAAAAGCTGGAAGTGGCTCTGTGGCTCAAGTGGTAGAGCGCTAGCCTTGAGCTGAAGAGCTGAGGGACAGCGCCCAGACGCAGAGTTCAGACCCCATGACCAACCAAAAAAAAAACAAAAAACAAAAAAACTTTTTTCTATTGCTGGTTAATTGAAGATAAGTCTCTTGCAAAAATTATCATACCCTTTAAAAGCATCAAGATGGTAGTAGAAATAGTTAAAAAAAATTTTTTTTGGTTGGTCGTGGGGCTTGAACTCGGGGTCTGGGGACTTTCCCTGAGCTCAGTTCAAGGCAAGAGTGCTACCACTTTAGCCATAGCACCACTTCTGGTTTTCTGGTGATTAATTAGAGATAAGAGTCTCACGGACTTTCCTGCCCGGGCTGGCTTTGAACCATGATCCTCAGATTTCAGCCTCTTGAGTAGATAGGATGACAGGCGTGAGCCACTGGCACCTGGCTTAAATTATTTTTGATAAGTCACATGTACTACATTATAGTAGCTTAATTCATATTTCAAAAAAATGTATTCATTAAGGAAAAAAGGCTTGGCTTTTTGTGCCGGGGCTGGCTTTGAACCTTTGTCCTCTGACCTCAGCCTATTGAGTACCTAGGATTGTAGGTGTGAGCCATTTTTTCCTCCCATCCCATGCCTGTTTCTCTCTATAATTGCTCATGTGTTTTTCTACCTCATCTGTGTTACTGTATGCCCAGAAGAATGGCCATAGTTGTTACTGGGATGTGTAATTCAGATTTGGTTTCTCAGATTAAGGCTCTAACCTTTGGATTCTGCTCCTTCTCCTGCTCTTCCTTTTCCTCCTCCTCCCCTTCCTTCTCCTCTTCTTTTCTTCACTGTTGTTTTTGCTGTTGCTATTATTATTGTTATTATTTCTGTTTTTTGTGAGTCCTGGGGCTTGAACTCAGGGCCTGGGCGCTGTCCCTGAGGTTTTTTGCTCAAGGCTGGTACTCTACCATTTGGGTCATGCCTCTACTAATTGGCAGTAAGAGTCTCATGGGCTTTCCTGCCTGAGCTGGCTTCAGATTGTGATCCTCAGGTCTGGACCTCCTGAGGAGTTAGGATTGCAGTCTCCTGCTTACAGGCCTCCCAGTTTATCCTCACCTGGATTTAACTAGCATGCTGGTATTCCCTCTTTCAGATCATCTAGGAAATAAGCTGTGAAACGGTACTTCACTGTAAAATTGACAAACACAGTGAAGCATCTCTCCTCCTAATTCAGCTCCTGTTTCGGTTCTGTCTGGTGTCTCAGTGACAACTGAGGGAGTTCACAGCAAAAGGGTTTGATATTGGGGCTGCTTCCCCAGTCCCACAGACCAGAGGTGATTCCCTCCTAACAGGACAGCTGGCGAGGAGGTTTTTATGTAAAACTTTTCAAAAGTTTTACATAATAACTTGAAACTAATGTGTTATAATACGTAGATACACAATGCAATTAAAATATTATGTAGTGCTAATCCTTTAAGTTAAATGTTCATAAAAATGAGTTTTAGGTATGTTTCTAATTTCATTTACAAAGTTATAATGGTTATTTCAGAAAAGCAACTTTAAAAAATGACTGTTCACAACAGAGACAAATGTGTAAAAGGGGTCTGTTTTGATCCATGACCTAGTTTTCTTGTCATTGAAAAGAGCTTATTTGCGTGATTTAAAATGGCCACAGAGTTCAGGATATATGGTAACAGGTGTCATGGTAAGGACTGCTGCAGTGTGCACTCCATTT